GACCACAGGAACCAGATGAGTCCTCTGCACAATGTGACTTTGATGCAGCCTGGAATTGAGCTGCTGGTTTCGTCTGGCCAGAGGAGAACTGGCGCCCCAACTGAGCCTGGTTTCTCCCAAGGTTTTTCCTCTATTCTGTCAGCGATGGAGTTTTGGTTCCTTGCCGCTGTCGCCTCTGGCTTGCTTAGTTGGGGACACTTCATTTCCAGCGATATCGTCGACTTGATTGCACAGATACTATTTAAACTGAACTGAGCTGGATGATGACATCACTGAAGTCAATGATGAACTGCCTTTAACTGAAAAATGAGTGTTTACTATTGTCATTTTGCATTACTGACACAATATTTTCCTAATTAATGCTGTACAGTTGCTTTGACACAATCTGTATTGTTAAAAGCGCTATATAAATAAAGGTGACTTGACTTGACTTGAGTTAAACTCAGGACCTGAACTTCATTTAGGAAACTGTTTCAGTCTAACAGTAGCATTCAGGTACAGAAATACACACAAACTGAATAAACTGCAGGAATGAGTAAAACTATTCAATTCAATTCAAATGTATTTGTATAGCGCTTTTCACAATACACATCATTTCAAAGCAGCTTTACAGAAAATGCGTGTGTCTACATCACAATAGAGTGATCATGACCGTACGAACCCTGAATGATATTTAGAGATTTTGAAGGCTGACTTATGTGACCAAATAATTTTGAGAAACGTCGTTACACAACCATACTGTAAGACCACGTTTTGGCTTCGGCTTCTTCAACAGCTTTCTGGTGTTTTTCAAATAAGAAACAGCACAATAAGTGTGAAGACATGATCTTAGACGCATACTAAATTGTTTGGCAGAGACTGTCCATTTCTTTGAATTAAAAGAAAGAACTTGAACCCTAATTCATGTGTGAATGACATCTTCAGAGGGGAAAATGTGATGTCTCCTCCAGTAACGTCACTGCCCACCGCTTCCTCATTTCAGTAGCTGCTTCACAAACGCTCAACCAACACGGAAAACAGAGCTGACAGACCACCAACACACACCCGAACGCGTCTGAAAATACACAACACATCTCCACCCACAGCTACAGCTACTGTCCATCTGAACAACCACAACTCCCACTGTTTCCATGAACCAATACAAGACATCTACACAAAACTCAGCTCTTCTCCTGCCTGTAGAGTCCCTCATTAGCATGTGTCAATTATGAGTTCATCAGCGAACACCTGCCTGATGTCAACTATAGACATTTTTTCAAAATAAATCAGCCAAAATCCCCCATCTCTCCCCATACTGTAACTGAGCTTTCAGATAAGGACAGTTTCCAGAAGATTCCACAGTGCATGTGATCCTCATGAGATCTTCTGTTGTGTCATTGATGGACGATCACAATGAGCCACACACGATTCGCTTTAGGAAAGAAGACATGAATACAGGACCCCTCGTTCTGATTCAGTGCCTGGAAACATTTCCGGATCTGAATCAGTCACTTTGATTGTAGATGTTGGATCAATGAGTGGGAACGTCATACACATGCGCTGATGTCCTATGTTTTTAACCTTTCATTACACAAAACGATCACTGTCCACAAATAAACAGAGACCTGTGGTTTAGCTGTACTCACAGACAGGCTGACTCATCCTGTATGTTGCCTGTGTTAATGTAAGTTTGGAAACAACTGGGAGGTGTGATTTCAAAAGTGATATTTAAAATAAGAATGACTGGAATTCAGCACCTTAAGGTCACTCACTTGCTATTGGCAGCTGTTCATCTATTCATCGACACACAGTTTGATTAATGACATCTTATGACTGAAACGCTGTCATTGAGGTGCCGGACACAAACTACAGCTCACGGGGAAATCTGCCACAATCACAAACCCTGCAAGCATCCTATCATCGGGGATGAACGCTTTTCCTGCTGATGTAACACAACATTCGATCGCAGCACCCGGATCAGAGCCAGTGCCATGTGTGACTGATGAATGATAATGAAGGCCTGAGGACAGACGTCCAGTCTGATAGATCTGCTCTGAAAACTGCACTCGACCTTAGACAGAACAAACTATTAAACTGTCTGTAATTCTGTACCTCATTCACATGTATTCCTTTATCCAAAGAGACTTACAAATGACAATAAAGCACTTAAGCTATTAAACCTACTGTATGTCTGTCCTCACAGCACTGTTTTAAAAAGCATCCCATTAAATATGATGTCTACTCTGCACAGCAGTTCTACAGATGCACAGTTTTATGGCTAATATATGTATTGCACCAACTCAAACTGCACATTTTAACTCTTTTTTTTCGGCCAGATTTCAAAAGTACCAAAAAAGCTCCAGCAGATTAACAAGTACAGCCTTAGCAGCACAACTGTCGTGGGTTTCTCCTCATAGAGCCCGTTTTACTGTGACTGTGCTGTTAGTGCAGCATCAGCAGCTCTAAACACAGAGAGCCTCAGACATCAGTGACACACAAACACTGTGACCCGGTTAACTAGTCAAGGATGGGATCCAAAGATGAAAGATGCTGTATCTATTCGATTTAAACGGAACAATATTTTTTCTCAAGAATTAGAAGACTTTATGACTGTTCTTTTAGGTCATGAATTTGCCATATCTTGTGATGTCAGAAGACACAGAATGAACCTAACAGAAAACAATGTGAGATGTAAGTTTGGAAACAACTGGGAG